GTGGCGGCACGCAGACCCTGGTCTTATCTATACAAGATGTAATGAGCTCCCAATAATTTTCCTTTCAGAGTGCTCCATTTACCAGAGATTATCTGTTAAATGTTGTTTTCCTGAGTAGATTAATCAGTACCTGTTGAACTGAATAAGTAACTTCACAAGACTATATTCCAGGCTCCATATGTACAGACTGACCTATTTAGTTTTCACTTTTCTTTTCCTTAAAAATGACTTTAAAATATTTGTTGATGCTTGTTATTTTAGTCCCCTCTATAGAAACAACTCAATACTTTTCCAAGCATAACCTAAAAAATGTGCCATGTCTAACTTTCAAAAGCAAAAGACATTCATTAACGCACAGTTCAAACAAATCAGAAGTAGATGTAGGATTACCACACCCCCTTCTAACAAATTACAAGACTTGGTTTGGTTACCTGAAAAGACTGTTGATTAACCAGACTGTAAACCAGGATGAAACCTTGGCCGTTTTTGATGTAGAGATCTCTCATGGAGGCAAACTGCTCAGTTCCTGCGGTGTCCAGAATTTCCAGCACGGAGGGGGAAGAGTCCACTTCGATCTCTTTGCGGTAGAAATCTTCAATGGTGGGGTCATATTTCTCAATGAAAGTCCCAGTGACAAACTGCACAGTAAGGGCAGATTTGCCAACCCCTCCGCTCCCTAACACCACTACCTTGTATTCCCTCATGAGTCTCACCTTCAGCAACTCCTACCAGAGGGGGCGAAAATAACACCCCGCTAGCTGCGCTGCGGCTAGGCGAGGCGGAAGGTGGGCGGAAATCTGCGAACTGGGGAGGAGAGCGCAGAGCAGCCCAGGGCCCAGCCGGGGAAGAAGAGGAAGTTAAGGGCGGGGGAGGGGAAAGAGCGAAGTGTCGGGGTGGGTGGGGAAGGGATGGTAATGCCCTTCCTATAGGAACTGAAGCCCAGGCAGGGGGCGTGGGGAGGAGGGCGAGGCCGGAGCCGCGCTGCGCCGGTGGGGAGACGGGCGCACCCCCCACCCCGGGAGGAGGGAGGGAAGGGGTGGGGGCCGCGGCTGGGTGTCCCCGGAGCCCGCAGCAGGGGCTGCCCGGCACCCCTCCCCCGCCCTTCACACAAAGGGGCCCAGGGACCCCGCTTCCTCCTGGCGCTGCCGAGCCGGCCCAGGCCTGCGGGCTGCGCTCCCGTCACTGGCGACCGGGCGAGTTTCCCGCGGGGGTTGTCCGGCCTGTGAGGGGCACAGGAGGAGCACGTTACCCGCCTGACCCCAGTCCCAGAGCGGCGGCCCAGGCTGCCGCCTCCTGCAGCTCCCACCCGCTTCGGGCCGCCGCCGCCGCCGCCGCCGCCCGCCGCTTACCCTGCGGCCCGCACCCGCCCGGCCGCCCGGGAGACTGTCACACCAAGGCCATGGCCACCCGCCGGCTGCTCGGTGCTGTGTCCTCCCCAGCGCTCCTGCTCGCGGAGCGGGAAGGGGCGGGGGCCGTCCGGCGGCGGCCGCAGGGGCTCCAGCCGAACCCACCTCTTTTTTTTTCCTCACCCCC